GTGCTGGTGAGGATGGAGTACGTGATCCTCGCGTTCTGGCCCACGTCCGGGTCCGAGGCGGAGACTCTGAACAGGGAGGTGCCTGAAGGGTTGTTCTCCAGCACGTAGATGCTGTAGGAAGGTCTCTCAAAGGCCGGGGCATTGTCGTTGACATCGGACACCTGTAGCAAGATGCTTTTGTGCGTGGAGAGAGGGGGGGTCCCTGCGTCTGAGGCTGTGACTGTAATATTGTACTCTGGAGTCCGTTCTCTGTCCAGGGGACCGTCTGACAGCAGCTTGTAGTAATTGCTAGATGTGGGAAGGATCTTGAAGGGTGGATCTCCTTGTATTTGGCAGGTAACCTTTCCATTGTCCCCAGTGTCTTTGTCATTTACATTGATCAGGGCAATCAAGGTCCCAAGTGGGGAATCTTCGACAACTGGGCTAAATACAGAAGCAAACATCACCTCTGGAGGGTTGTCATTCTCATCAGAAACTTTAATATCAATATCACAATGTGTCACTGATCCACCTCCATCTTTTGCTGCTATGGTCAGCATGTATTCTTCCGTTTCCTCAAAGTCCAATGGCTCCATAAGGGTGATAGTACCACTGACTGGATCAAGCCTGAATTTCTTTTTGGCATCTGCTGGGATGTTGCTGAAGTGATACCGGATTTGGCCATAAGAACCTTCATCCTTATCAGAGGCCACAATCTGGAGCACCTGGGACCCAACAGGCGCATTTTCCTTCAGACTGACCCTGTAGACATCCTGGCTGAAGACGGGTGGGTTGTCATTGGCGTCGGTGATGTTGATACGGATCTGGGCAGTCCCGGTTTTCCTCGGCTCACCCCCATCGAGGGCAGTGAGGATCAAGTGCAGGGTCTGTTCCTCTTCCCGGTCCAGCGGCTTCTGCAGCACCAATTCTGCATATTTGCTGCCATCTTTTCTCTCTCGCACTTCCAGAGTGAAGTACTGATTGGGACTCAGCTGGTAGTCCTGGAGAGAATTCGCCCCAATATCTGGATCCTCAGCTTTCCCCAGGAGAAATCGGGTGCCTGGTGAAGTGGATTCAATGATCTCCAAATTGATGTTGCCATTGACGAATTGGGGTGCATTATCATTGATGTCCTGGATTGCCACTCTGACATGGAAAACATTCAGAGGGTTTTCTGCCACAGCTTCTAAATTTACAAAGCAAAGCGGATTTTTGCCACATATTCCCTCTCGATCTATCCTGTCATTTATGTAGAGGTTTCCATTCTCAGCACTGATCGTCAGGTACTGTGTTTTAGCCACAGTGATGGCATGCAGGTTGCGCTTTGGCAGCTCCCTGGCATTCAGCCCCAGGTCCTTGGCCAGGCTGCCCACCACGGAGCCCTTCTCCATTTCCTCCGGGATGGAATAGCGGACCTGCTCCGAGGCAGCCCAGCAGGAGAACAGCGGCAGCAGCAGCAGCAGCAGCAGCCGTACCTGCCCGGCCAGTGCCCTGCCCTTGTTTCTGTGCCTCCTCTCCATCTGACTCCCTCAGAAATAGGCTGCCTCCTTTTTTAAGCTGGTTATGGTGAAATCAGACTCTCAGCAAGATGAAGGCACTTTCAGGATGCAGGAATCACTTGGCTTTCTTCTTAGTCTCCCCAAACTGGGGCAGCCTCCCTTTTCACGCAACGAGGGCTGCCTCTGTGCTCTTCTCTTTCCCTGATCCGCACCTTCGACTGGAGCTGCGGTAGCGGAAGAAGCATCGCTGGGCCACGCTTCTCTCGGCTGCCACTGTACTGGCCAACAGCGGCACAGTGCGGCTCAGGGGGTGAACTGCAGGGAAAGCGTCCCCTCCAGTGCAAAAGAGAAGGATAACTGGGCCACGAACGAGCGTCCATTGCTCTGCAGCTCTCATCTTTCTGCAGTGCGCTGCCTGCGGATTGTTTCCGGAGCAGATGGATAGCCAGGCACTTCATGCATTTCCATGGCCTTCTGCACAGCCTCCATTTATTTCCATGGCTTTTTGCACCATCTTGTTGGCACCAAATCAGAGAACTGGGGCCCACGACAGCCTCCCCCTGGGATTGCAACATCCCACCTGTGAAGATGACTTCCAGCTCCACTTCTAGCAAAGTGCTTCCTTCGAAAGAGGCACATGCTGCGGCTGTCTTTAGCATCTGCCATTTTCAGTGTTGTCAGAATGCTCCAGCGTAATATAATCCAGGCCATAAGCCCCAGATTTAGCCCTTTCCCGAGTTACACAGTTCTGCGTTGCAGGAATGAACCGTGTCATTCTTCTGGAGCAGCATCTCCTGCCCCTCCACCAGCAGCTGGCTCAAGGTCCAGGCCTTCGTTCATGTGCATCCAACTGAAGCTCCTTCCTCTGTTGTCTCAGGGAAGGAGCACCCAATCTTCATGGTAACAGCTTGCCACATATCCGGAGGCATCCGACACAGCCCAGGTCTCCTGTGGATGCTCTTGATGGATCTTTTATGTGCATTTACATTCCCGTTATACACTTCTCCTGTATGTTCCTCTGGGAGCGCTCCAGAAGGGAAGGTGTAGAATGGAAAGGCCAAGTGTGTAAATGTTCTTGAGTGGGTGGGTTGCATGTCACGCTCAGCCATATTCAGCAGAAGGCGGCCATCTTTTTGGAGTTATGCAATTCCCACTTGAATCAAAAGAGAGTCGCCATTCTCGTTGTTCTGTCAAGGAAATGTTAATTCACATCACACAGAGCTTCTTCTAATACTCAGCACTAGTAAACGGGAACTGTTCTGTGGACTGACGTTAGCCTTGAGCTTAACTGGAGACGGCTGCAGCATGACACAAGTCACCCGGAAGACGGCAGGCGGCATCTCCGATGATGCATCAGAACGTCGGCCAAGTCCATCTTCATCTCAGCAGCACTCAGAATCCACGGACTGCCAAGGTCAAACTCCATGAGCAGCATGCTCAGAATGGGAAAAAGGTTTTCACCAGGACATGAGCCCTGCCAACACACCCTCCTAGATTAGTACCAGATACGAATACTGGCTGTACTTATCCTCAAAGGTGGCCATGAATAGATTGTGGCAATAAATTGGCTGTAGCAATATTAACAACGGGGCACGGTGTGCTTTGCAAACATACATTGACACTTGACTCTGGCAGGGCTTCCTGCAAGGGAGCGGTACATGATATCGGCTCCTATGGCACCCGCCGTTTGATTTATAGCGTCTGGGATGCTGGCCAGCAGGGAGAGTCCAAACGGGGACTGCCAGATCTCTTTTGCTCAGCAGGTGAGCTCCATTGCCGGCATCTCCAGAGCAAAGAGCCCCCTGACAAAGCCCCTGGCCAGGAGTCCCGCTCAGTAAAAAGGGGTGCTTATCTTCATGAGGGGAGACAGACTATTTCGGACACAAACTTGGAGGAAGATGCATTACTGCACTCAGTTTTGGGAAACTCCAGATTTCCCTCATGTACTTGCATCTGAGAGAAAGTCACCCCAGAATATCAACTAACAAAAGAAGCGTCCAAGGGACCAGTGATGAACCAAATACAGAAACAAAATAAAGGCCTGGGAACTAATCCCCGCACAAACCACCCGTAGATTGAACAAAATGACTGCAACTTATCTTGTGTGCCATTTCTTTGCAACATCAACATGTGCAATTCATGGCAGGAACATCCAACGGGAAACGCAGACTTCCTGAGTGGAAGATGAACTGATCACCTGAATGCCTGATGGGTTGCCATTCCTGCAAGTAGCACCTTCAGCAGCGAGAAAGGGATCCCTTCTTCCATGGGGCTTCTGACTGGAGAACGTACTGCACGAGCAGCCCTTGGGAAGGTGGAAATGGCTGTGCCTGGAGTCTGCAGTCAGGCAGACCTCATGGCAGTAGGAATGAAGAACAGCCCTCACCGTGTCAAGCCCTACAAACGGTGGAGCTGGAACACCGTTAGAAGTCATGTTCCCACAATCCTGCAGCCGAGAATGTCTCCACTTGTGAACGTTCAAAGCCAGCAGCACCAGGAGGAAGGCAAAGAACAAGCAGGACACAAAAGCCACCGCGAGCACCAGGTAGAAGGTGAGGTCAGGCTGGGCATCCGCGGGAGCGGAGATGCCGCCCAGGTCTGAGAGGACCTCGGGGATGCTGTCGGCCAGCACGACGGTGACCGTGACGGAGGCAGAGAGGGGAGGCTGCCCATTGTCCTTCAACAAGACCACCAGGCTCTGCCTCAGGGCGTCCTTCTCCAGGAAGGGGCGTGCTTCTTTTTGGAAGGTGAAAGTTGAGTATAACTGAGAATTACGTTCCCAGTCTTGAGAGCAGAC